GGCGCGTCTGGGCGTTCCTGGGCCCTCCTGCGCTCCAGACGACCGCATGTTAGATATCCCCTTGGGTGGGCTGGACCACGTGTGTTTACGTGTGCAGGCTATCCAGGGTGGTCCCGAGCTGGAACCATATGTTTTTACATGTCCAGGCCACCCAGGGTGATATCTAACATGGTTGTCCCGAGCTTGAACCACGTGTTTTTACATATCCAGGCCACCCATGGAGGTATCTAACATGATTATTCTGAGCAAGGACTACGTGTTTTAAAGTGTCCAGGCTATTCAGGGGTGTATCTATCATGGTTTCCCGAGCTTGCACCATGGCTTTTCAGGTGTCCAGGCCATCCAGGGGGATATCTAGCATGGTTGTCCCGAGCAAGGACCACGTAACTTTAACTTTCCGTAGCGCGTCCCCTCGGCACGTCCCGCGGTGCGTCCCCGTGGCACGTCCCCTGGCACGTCGCCTGGCGCGTCCCTTGGGACGTTCCGGGGCGCGTCCTCCTGGCATGTTCTCCTGTCAATGAGCTCTGGGGCAGCTACTATGAGATGAGGCAGCTCGAGCTGAAGATCCAGATCAGTTCGGTCAGGACTCGGATGCAAAGGAGGACTCGATCCACAATGCTATAGAACACAATCGCGGCATGGCACATCGCAGTTCAGCTCGGCACAGCACAGCACAGCCCTCGGCACGGTACGTCAAGATCGATACACTCAGCATTGCAACCTGGCACGTTTCTTGGCACGTTCCGTGGCGCGTCCCGTGGCGAGTCCCCCTGGCACGTCGCGCGGCGCGTCCCCGTGGCACGTCCCGTAGCACGTCCATTGGCACGTTCCGTAGCGCGTCCCCTCGGCACGTGCCGCGGTGCGTCCCCGTGGCACGTCCCCTGGCACGTCGCCTGGCGCGTCCCTTTGGACATGCCGCGGCGCGTCCTCCTGGCATGTTCTCCTGTCAATGAGCTCTGGGGCAGCTACTATGTGCTGAGGCAGCTCGAGCTTAAGATCCAAATCAGTTCGGTCATGACTCTGATGCAAAGGAGGACTCGATCCACAACGCTATAGAGCACAATCGCGGCATGGCACATCGCAGTTCAGCACGGCGCATCATAGCACAGCCCTCGGCACGGTACATCAAGATCGATACACTCAGCATTGCATCCTGGCACGTTTCTTGGCACGTTCCGTGGCGCGTCCCGTGGCGAGTCCCCCTGGCACGTCGCGCGGCGCGTCCCCTGGCACGTCCCGTGGCATGTCCATTGGCACGTTCCGTAGCGCGTCCCCCCAGCACGTCCCGCGGTGCGTCCCCGTGGCACGTTCCCTGGCACGTCGCCTGGCGCGTCCCTTTGGACGTTCCGCGGCGCGTCCTCCTGGCATGTTCCCCTGTCAATGAGCTCTGGGGCAGCTACTATGTGCTGAGGCAGCTCGAGCTGAAGATCCAGATCAGTTCGGTCAGGACTCGTTTGCAAAGGAGGACTCGATCCACAACGCTATAGAGCACACTCGCGGCATGGCACATCGCAGTTCAGCACGGCGCAGCACAGCACAGCCCTCGGCACGGTACATCAAGATCGATACACTCAGCATTGCAACTTGGCATGTTTCTTGGCACGTTCCGTGGCGCGTCCCGTGGCGAGTCCCCCTGGCACGTCGCGCGGCGCGTCCCCGTGGCACGTCCCCTGGCACGTCGCCTGGCGCGTCCCTTGGGACGTTCCGCGGCGCGTCCTCCTGGCATGTTCCCCTGTCAATGAGCTCTGGGGCAGCTACTATGTGCTGAGGCAGCTCGAGCTTAAGATCCAGAGATCAGTTCGGTCAGGACTCGGATGCAAAGGAGGACTCGATCCACAACGCTATAGAACACAATCGCGGCATGGCACATCGCAGTTCAGCACGGCGCAGCACAGCACAGCCCTCGGCACGGTACATCAAGATCGATACACTCAGCATTGTATTTGCCCGTCGCCCAATCAGGTGTCCTTGAAACGTTGCCATGCCTTACATTTCTATATTATTTTCCGGGTTCGTGGGTCGATCATGTTAGAAGATTCGTCCCTGGAGCTTTCAGAGCATCCAAGACGGCCTGCGAGGCCTCCAAGATCGCCCGAAGACGGCCCAAGAGGCTCCCTGCAGGGCTCCAACACGGCCCAATAGAGCCCCAAGAAGGCCCAAGAGGCCCCCAAGTCAGCCCATGAAGGCCCAGGACGGCTCCCAGAGGGGGCCCAAAGGGGGTACCCGCACGGCCGAACGGATATTTCAAGCATTCGGCCTCAAGACGCCCCCAGGAGGCCCCAGGAACCTTCCTAAAAGCTCCCAAGAGGCCCCGAAGAGGTCCCCGGGAAGCCCCAAGAGGCCCCCAAGAGGCCTCCCAAGAGGGTCTCAAGAGGCAAACATGGCCCCGTTGCCGCCGTGAAACGCATATTTTCCCGGAAAGGGCTCGGGCCCAGGGTTCTCTTTTAGTGTGGTCATCTGTGCCATGTTGGGGGTGGGCCGGCGGGTTAATTTGGGATGAAAACAAGGACAAGTTCCATTCGGCGTGGAACAAATGCGTTTCGCGCGTGCCTGCTCGAGGGAAGTGCGCCCCTCATCTCGGATCCTCTTTGCCTCATGGCCTCCGGGGGCCCCCGCTTTCCCTCGTACAAAAGAGGGTGCGGAGCGTTTGGCGCAGAATCCATGCTAGATAACGAGGTATGGAGCCCCGACTGGGACACGAAAACTGTGAAACAGTTGACTTTTTGCGTGCCCGCTTCAGGACGGCGCGTTCGGCGCGCAGGACCCAGTAGGGGGGCCCCGAGGGGGCACCCGAACGGATCTTTCAAGCCTTCGGCCTCAAGACGCCCCCAGGAGGCCCCAGGGAAGCCCCCCCAGAGCTCCCGAGAGACCCCAAGAGGCCCCGAGCAGTACCCGGAAGCCCCAAGAGGCCCCCAAGAGGCCCCCAAGAGGCCCCCAAGAGTCCCCTCCCCACCAGACGCCCTGATGCACTCATGGCGATCCCGAAGCTTCCAGAGAGGAGAGGCGACGAACGGCCATGCTGACGCGATCTTGGGCCGTCTTCGAGCTCAAGGTGCCCCCATCATGGCCCAAGAGGTCCCAGAAACGCCCGAAGAGAACTTCCCTGGGATTCCCAAGAGACCCTCGAGAAGCAAATTACCAGGGGACGGACCCAACCAAGATGGCCCCAAGAGGCACCCAAGAGGCGCCCAGAAGCCCCTCCCGTGGCCCTAGAGGGGCCCCACGAGCCCCCCCCAGAAGCCCCCAAGAAGACATCCCAGGAAGACTTTGGCGTGCCCCCGAGTGCGTTTCCGTTTTCGCCGTCCCACCTTTGTCCGCCCTCTTTGATCTCTCTATTTTTTGCTCTTGGTTCTCTTGCGCCTCCCGTTCCACATCCACCTCCTTCCTCTCCTGTTCTTTCCCCTCCGCTGCGTCTTCTCCCTCCTCCCTCTTCCTCGTCTCTCCTCTACGCCTTCCCTTCTCCGCCTCCCTCATGCGTTTCCGTCTTCCCCACCCCTCGCTGCTCGTTCTCCTGGATCTCTCCCTTGCTCTTGGTTCTCCCGCGTCTCCCGTTCCACGTCTTCTTTCCTCTCCCACTCCCTTCTCCCCGCTACGTCCGTTTCCCTCTTCCCTCCTCCTCGTTTCTCCTTTACGCCTGGTTGTTCAATGATTTTGTCCCCTCGAGGGCTTACCCGTAGCTCTTGGGGGACTCATGGAGGCCTCTTGGGGCGATCTTGGGTGCTCTTGGGGGCCTCCAGAGCCAACTTGAAAAAAGGGAATTCCCTCAAGTCCTTTTTTCTGGAAAGGGCGCGTGACCAGGGTTCTCTTTTAATGGGTTAACCCTCAGGTTCCGGCTTGAAGGAGGCCGGCGAATTATTTCTGCGATAAACAACGAGGTGAAGCCCAATTCGGGGTGGAACAAATACGTTTCGCGCGTGCCCGCTCGACGGGGTCTGCAGACACCCGTTTTCCATGGAAAAAAGAGGGTGCGGGGCATTTTTAGGAGAGGGAAAAACCGAAGTCTGGAGCCCCAACCGGCACACACAAAATGTGTGGAAGTGTTGCCTTCTTGCGAACCCGCTCAACGCGATTCGGGGACGCTAGCCATGACGCTTTTCGGCTCCCCCCCCTCGCGCGCTCAGCAACAATTAGCAGTAAGGAAGCAGAAAGCAGGACTGTAACAGTGGAAACTGGAAACCGCAATTGGTACAGGGAGCTGCAACCATGATCTTTGCAGCGTGATGGCCCCGCAAGGGGGCCGGCGTATAGGTATATGTACATGTATATGTAAATGTATTTTTTTGTATACGTATACGTATATGTAAATGTATATACATATATATATATATATATATATGTCTGTATATGTAAATATAGGACTATAGGTATATGTACATGTAAATGTATACGTATATGTATATGTGCATGCGTACGTATATGTATTTCTATTTGCATATGCATATGATTATGTTTGTATGTGTACATCTACATGTGCATGTAGTTGTGTATATATGCATTCATGCATGCATGTATGTATACATGTAATTATGTATGTGTGCATGCATGCATTGATGGATGTATGGATGGATGTATGGACGGATTGATGAATATGGATGGATTGATGGATGGATGGACGGAGGGAGGGAGGGATGCATGTATGTATGTAGGTCGGTAGGGAGGTAGGTCGATAGGTAGGTCTGTATGGATGTATGCATATAATGTATGTATGCATGTATGTGTGTATACCTGTATGTACGTGTGCATGTATGCATGCATGCGTGTATGTATGCATGCATGCATGTATGTATGTATGTATGTGTGCATGCATGTATGTATGCATGTCTGTACTTATGTATGTGTGTGTATGCTTGTATGCAATTATGCATGTGTATATAGGTTTCTGTCTGTACAGCTATGTACAGACATGTCTATCTCTAGTTGATATGTATGTAGATAGGGAGAGGGGAGAGAGAGAGAGAGAGAGAGAGCGCGAGGAGGCTGAAGGAGCGAGCATCCTTCAGGCCCAGCCGCCGCTCGGCACAACCTTCGATCTCACCAAGTCGAAGATGCTCCGCGAGATGCCGGCGGTGCCTCGAGCGGCTCCCGAGGCGGGGGGATCCTTGGGAGCGTGGGGGCAGCCTCGGGGGGGAGGAGGGGGAGACAAGCTGGTGCGCTCTCCCCACATCTGAGATCCTACTCCTCCCATGCATCCCTTCCCGTTGCGACGAATTCTTCTCCATCCGCCGGCGGGTGTCACGGCGGACATTGTACATACCCGTACGTTGCATACCTGTGTCATACAGCGAAGGTGCAATGACCAAGTGTTGGGGGTCTACGCTGGTAGTATCGTGCAGGAGCGATGATCTATTCTGTTGTTGGCTTGCGAGTTGCTTGTAGCCTACGTTTTCGAGGTCAACTTTGGATTCGCCATCTCCTGACCCAGACCCCTGGTACGAATCCACTCATGCCCATCATATCGATTTAAGCATGCGTTGGAAATCCTCACGCATGTTGATCACTAGTGATGCGGCTGCAATGACTCCCTAGGTCTTGATGTCACCGTAGCTGTGCTCCTTCCGATGCTCCTTTCGTCCTGGTCGTGGGCACCAGCGATATGTTCGTCGGCGTAAGCTTTGGGTGGCCGTGGGAGAAGGAAGAGCAGGAGGAGCAGGATATCTTTTCTCGGCTAGGATTTGCTAGCCGTCTTCCCGGGGAACAGGAATCAAACCTTTAAGGGTTCCCGCTTCTCAAGGCGGCTAACCTTTCCCGTTTGCCTCAGCGCCGTTTGGATTTTGATGGTTCGAGGAAGGTGGGCAGCGAATCTTGGCCCATTTATTTTGCAGTGAGGTGCCAGCGCGATGCACCCCAACTCGATCGGTCAACAAAGCAATCAATCGATCGATCGATCAATCCGTCCGAGCAGTCAGTCAATCGATCACTTGCACAATGAACCTGCTTGTCGAATCGACCACCCCGTCTGAGGATCAGACGGCATGCTGCTCTCCTCCACAAAGAGCCACCGTACACTTCTGGAGGAGGAGGAGGAGGGAACGGGGGGAAGATGGTGGTCGACGGGGAGGGGGAGGAGGAGCAATAGTAGTAGTCGTAGTAGTCGTAGTAGCCGTAGTTGTCGTCGTAGTCGTCGCAGTCGTAGTCGTCGTCGTCGTAGTCGTAGTCGTAGTCTTAGTAGTAGTAGTAGTAGTAGTAGTAGTAGTGGCAGTAGTCGTAGTAGTAGTCGTAGTAGTAGTAGCAGTAGTAGTAGTAGTAGTCGTCGTCGTCGTAGGAGTAGTAGTAGTAGTAGTAGTAGTAGTAGTAGTAGTAGTAGTAGTAGTAGTAGTAGTCGCAGTAGTAGCAGTAGTAGCAGTAGTAGCAGTAGTATCAGTAGTATCAGCAATCGTACTATTATAGAGTAGTAGTAGTAGTAGTAGTAGTAGTAGTAGTAGTAGTAGTAGTAGTAGTGGTAGAGTGGTGGTGGTAGTAGTAGTAGTAGTAGTAGTGGTATTACTGTAGTGGTAGTAGTCGTAGTAGTAGTAGTAGTAGTAGTAGTAGTAGTAGTAGTAGTAGCAGTAGTAGTAGTAGTAGTAGTAGTAGTCGT